TTCTCTAGTGATACCTGCGAAAGTATTCAGTATAATTTCCGGTAAGATTTTCGCTGACAATCTGATCGATTTCCCTTACATTGTGTGCCGAGACTGAAACTTTTCGCCTCAAGCAAATCTCCGTCGCACGGTCCAAACAAACATAGCGAGCCACTGAGCTAGTAGTATATGTCCGTGTTAAAACACACGAAAGGACTCTAAAGCACACTTCACTCTGATTGGGCAGAAAAACAAAGATTTTCTGGCACCAATCAGATGGCAGAACGACTGCGACCGTTTGGAATTAGTCTTGTAAGACCATGTCCCCAGGGGCTCTTCACGCCCTAACTTGAAATTGACTCAGCCCGTGGGTCTCCGAGGATGTTTCTACCTAGACACAAGGAGATTTAATGCGAGTTTTATTCATCGAATTCCTGCGTTTTACTAGTCCGCGCTTTACTAGTCCGCGTTTTACTAGTCCAGTCCAGTCCACGAAATACCATATGCCCGACTGGACACATTTGAAGAAAATTAACGCAGCGATGACAAAAAAAAAAATGATATGGAGGGAAGCTGATAGTATATTATAAAAGCTAAATTGTACTTCCTCTCGTTTCTGGTTCAACTCTATTAACCTCTTTGCAAAGACTCCCAATACACGAATGGCTTTAGTTTTCCCCTTCAGGACTGACACTCCCAGTAATGGATGTAGCAATGCATCTTTGGTACTCCACTTGTTAGGGTACCTTCGCATTTGCACTTGTAGACTCTTTTGCCACTTGAGACGATGCTTGATAATTGAATAAATTTTGCATCATTTGTATCCCAGTTTACACCAATAAACATCCCATTCTGCCGAAATAAACAACAACGGTAATGATACTGACAAAATAATGATGATTAATGGTAATGATAAATGACGTCAGACTTCGATGCGCGCAGGACTAATTTAAACCTTTTTTTTCTTTTTATAAAAATGTAAATACCCTCTTGGTAAATGCTCAAATTTGTAACATTTTTTATTATGCGAGGATAGCTGACGGTTATCTTTTGACTTGTCCGTCTTTAAATAATGTTATCGTAAATGCATTCACCATGTTCAGAAACCCAAAAATGTAATGATTTTTTGTCCCCCCAACGCCTTACAATTTATGACCCAAATTTTCCGAAAGACCCTTTGCGATATCGCTGGCACAAGCAAATCTCTGCAATCTTCGAATGCGTCCGCAATCGATTTGTGGTTTACCTTCATTTTTCTGCCACAGTCTAAATTCTTTTATCTTAGTATTTGATAAGGTTTCCACGGAGAAATGAAATTATGTCTAACTTCATATTTAGACACGCACACGCTGTCTAGTGAAATGGAAAATTGCTGCAGTTGTTAGAGAGTTTGAGAAAAGATCACGAGAATGAATATTTGGCCAATTTTAATGCCACACTAGCAATATCTCTGACACTTTGGCCAGGGGTGGCTTTGCTCCCAATCAAATTTTTGTTTGGGGTAGGGGCAGCGGCTCCCCCTGCTCCGCCACCTATGACTCGGTGTTATGGGAAATGACTGTCCATTATTATTTTCTGGAAATTTATAGAACGCCTTTGCCTAGTCAGAGGGTCTCAGTGGAATGATAGCTCTTGCGGCTAACGGTTAATATTTTGGCCATTTAACGCCAAACGGTTAATATCAATCTATTGTTGTCATCAAATTTTTTTTTTTTTATGGTGAACATTATTTACGACTATCGGTTAAAATTTGTCAATTTTGCGCTACCACGAAACTTTCAAGAAAACTCTATTACATTATGTAATTATATTTCTACAAGAATGAGTGTGTTGTAGGTTTCCAGAATGTTCTAGAAAACGCTGTGAATGTACATAAGGACTTAGTCATCTAGGAGTAATAGTTTTTGTAGTCGGAAGGGCCTAACTTTCTAAAACGCTGTGCTAATAGGGAGCCTTTCTGGCATACTTGAAAAATTGTGAAGGAGTAGTGAGTTTGCGTCAGTGGCTAACTGAGTTGTAATCTATAGCGGGCTTAAGTAAGTTTTGAAAGGACCATTTATTGTTAGTATTTCTGACAGGAGCTGCTTCTTAGTAAGAATTAACTAGGGAAGTGTTACTCACTAAGGTAGTTGGATGTGTAGGAGTTTAGTATTCTTTCTGCCAGTAACATTATACCGTAACATAGGAAAAGATTTAGAAATGTCTCTCCGTGTTATTTTGTAAAGTTCAACGGTTAAGAAATTTTCTTTGGTTCTTTTTATGAATTTGAGCAACCTTCTGATAATCTTCTTTCAGTAAGGTTTGAAATAATTATTATTATTCAAATATAAAGAGGTGATCCCAGACCTACGTTTAGCTCCGTCACTAAGATTTTTTGTCTGGCGTACGAGCTTGATGTTTTGGAGACAAAATGCTAGTAAGACCGATTCATTATTTCCTCTGTACCCAATATAGAGCTAATCTGTGACTTACGATTGGTTCCGTTTCTTGAACCTGTTGTCTCGTGATCGTGTGTGGCGTCATACCAGAGCTGGCTGAAGTCTTGTAAACACAGGAACTGGCCCCGAGTCCAGGTGGGCCATGAGTACCATTGTACCCAGATGGTCCACGAATACCCTGAGCACCAGGTAACCCAGATGGTCCTGCAGGGCCCTGAGTACCATTATATCCTGGAAGTCCAGGAGGTCCGGCTGGTCCGCTAGGTCCGGCAGGTCCAATGTCCCCATTAGTTCCATTGAATCCGGGTGGTCCTATAAGGGTGGTGCTGCTATTAGTGTTTGTCACCTAGATAATTTAAAAGAAAACAACAATGATAATTATTCTAACAATAACAATAATGATGATAATGACGAGGATAGCAATGACAATAACAATAGTAACTTGAAAAGTTAAATTTCCCGGAAGAGCACGTCTCCGATCACGTAAATCACATCTTTTAATTGCCGTGTTGCCAGCATGGCAAATTTTCTTTTCAAACATTTATTCTATATAAGTATGATTACTTGGGGTGTACAGGGTCAGGGTTTCCTTCGCATACAGAATTTGTTTAATTGAAACTAGCCTGTATCCGTAATTGGATCCTCCTTTGCGATCCGCTAAGTTGACTTCGGTCGTGTATCTTTAATAGATCCTTAGTTGGGTTTCATATCGGGTTGTAGGCTTCCCCTACCCGGTCACCTTAAAAAGTTAAATTTCCCGGGAGACCACGTCTCCGATCACGTAAATCACATCTGTGATTGCCGTGTTGCCAGCATGGTTGTCCTTATAGTGCAGTGGTCATCACACCTGACTAGTAACAGGCAGTGGAGTGTGTAGCTGTAACCACTGGTGTTTAAGGCTTTCTGGTAGGCGGGAGCGGCTTGGTCGAAGGAGGTTTTGTCGGATGAGAGGAATGATAAGCGTCTGTTGATGCCGGCGGGGATGTTTTTCGTGGTGGACGGTGGATGGTTGCTTTCGCGGTGGACGTATTGTAGTGAGGTATTGGGTTTGGTATATGGCTGGTAGGTGTTTTGGCTGAGGTTAAATGTGACGTCCAGGAGGTTGATTACTTGTTTGTTAGCTTCTATGGTGATGCGGAGTCCATTAGCGTTAAAAATGCGGCATATCTCTTTTTTGATATTTTCAGTGTCCCTGGGTGTGGCGTCGGTTGTGGCAAGTCCGTCGTCTCGGTATAGACCATTGTTTATGTTGAGATTTTGTAGCTGGGACAGGAGGAAGTTTCCGACAAGTTCACAGGTTTCGGTGTCGTCGAAACTGCCCATGGTTACGTCAAAGGTAGTGTTGCCTTTTTTTTTGCCAGAGTTGCTGTTTGTGGATTAAAATCGAGCTTTTGGGATGAATAATAATGTTCCTTTCGTCGGCGGTGATGTTGTCAAAATCAGATGCGAAGTTGAGTGCTTTGTTTAGGAGGTCTAGGCTGATGGATGGGTAGAATTCTTCTATGTCGAAGCAGATGAAGTTAGAGTTGTATTTGTTGATCGAAACCATTTGATAACGGCTGAGGTGTTTTTCCATGGGTTGAAGTTGCTTTTTCACGCGATGTTGCTGTTGATGCGGTCGAGGATCCTTTTGCTCACTTTACCTATTTCGGATTTCGTCGGGTTGATCAGGCGGCATGTCGGTTTGTTTGGGAAGTTCGGTTTGTGGTCTTTAAGTGTTATGAATGCGTTTTTGTTGGCTGTAGTGTCTATCCTGTCATCGATTTGTAGTTTTGTCGCGATGTCTTTGTTTGTTTTATGGATTGCTTGCGTTGTTGTGGGGAGGGCTTTCTTGTAGGATTTTGTTACGTTTTTTTCTAGAAGATCGTTGTATTCTGCGGGTTCAAGTTTGTTGAAGTTAGTAGTTTTGTCCGCTGGGACCAGTAGCTTAGGTTCGTTCTTGATGCGGTTGGTGTCTTCTTTTAGTTTGTTGAGGAAAGGGCTGTTCACCTGCTTGAATTTTACAGACTGTATCATCTTGAGCATGTCGTCCTCAAAGTCCTTTAGTTCTTCGATCGGTGGAGGGTTCTTGGTCGATTTGAACGATGATCTGAACAGTAGAAATGTTACATGGAAGTATCAAATACTCGTCTAAGCAATAAAAATAATCAGTTTTTGGAAGATTTTGAACTAGAAGCAGAGTTGAAGCCACTCACAGTGGTGGAATTGTCAAGTTTGACATAAAATACAGAACGCTATCCCTTATAATTCCACTGAAATAAAATGTATGTCAGCTGGTCACTTTTCTAACAACCTGAAGATTTACAGGGGTAGCATTGCTTGGATTTGAGCGGTAAACGCTGACTCTTGCAAACTGTGAAGAATTATACTTTTGATAATCGCCGAAAATACCCACTTGTTCATGGTGGAAAACAGTCTCCGTTCTTGCGTTGGGCTTAGAGGCATAGCTGTACCATGTAGTTTGTGATCAAGGAGCTTCACTTTAATCAAAAGAGACAATGATAACCTGCAGCTTAAGTCAGTGACTTGGCATTCTATGGTATCAGAACAGTAGTTTAGGTTTTTGTTTGTGTATATTTTTTATTTCAGTACGATAAAGCACACTAGCGTGCATTTCGTTTCGTGTACCTTTTGATCCAGGTGCATGACTTTTTTGTTGAAAATAAATTAAACTTCCCGTTTACGCTTGTATTTAGACCATTCAATGTTTGGGCAGCATCTTTTACTGCGAGACGGATTTCCTCCAGCTCTGTATTTTTGCCCTTAAAAAATAGAAAAAGACCAAATTATTGTGTTAGAGAATTAGTGGGCCGACTAAATTAAGTAGAAGAGTCCACGTTGGGCTTCCCAACATAATGATGATGGAGACCGTGAAATACAGATAACAATAAATTCTTATTGCTTGTATAGAAATTTACCTCCTTTTTCATATTCTCCATATCTTTTTTCATCTGCCAATACTTTCGTATTTTTTTCATCACTGTGTATTACAAATAGAAGAATTGCTCCTGCCAAGTTTTTTTGCAGAGCCGAGAGGCTGCTTTCCAACTTCTGTATCTTCTTATCAAACTCTGAGGTATCTGAAAGAGTAAATAGGTAAATAGAAGTAAATGAAAGAAAAAAAAAAGGATTCTAAGCAGAGGGAAGCATTTACCCCTACCATTGATTAAATAATCTATCTTATACAAACGAGTCAAATATATAGATTTAGCCAAGCCTAAAGGCAGAGCTCCCGTTAGGTGAAAATTTTGAAATAAAATTTCTTTACATATATTAAAAATTTTTAGCCAAACATTCATTCATTATAGATTAAACCCATTGACACTTACGTGTAACGTGCCCGTGAAAAGTCAAAATTTTGGAGAAACTGAGAAAGCAAACACAATGCGCAGTAAATTTTTAAAATTCATCTTTTCTAAAAAACAAGCTCCAGTGAAAGAAGACTAATTAAAGAACTTATTTCCGACGAAAAAAGCGATAGGTGCATATTACGCTTTAATTAAAAAATCAAGATGAAAGATTAAAATCGCTAAATATTTTCGCATGTGTGCAATTGGGCATGTGGACCATATTTCAAAATGGAATATGCGGATTTGTCCGTGAGTGAAGAGATCTCAAGTTCCATGGAATCTCTCAATAGGAAGCAAGACTAAAATGGCCAAGAAATATTTCCTGACGACAGATTTATTCAAAAAAATTTTGGTTTGCTGTTATAAACGAAAAAACGTACGAATTTCTTACGTGTACAAAGCCCACGCGGCAAAATTCGTCATGCTTAGATCGTTGTTTACTTACCTTCAAGGCCAGAAATTACCCAGCGTTATGTTGAAAATTCTGAAAAAACTTCGATTTGACACAAAATCTTCTATTACACAATACTTTTTTTAACACATTGTTACTCGAACACAATATTTACCGGGCCATCGAATCGTCAAATTGTCGCAAGGCCCTACTTGAGGTCCGAAAGTTCGATTTTCACTTTATGTCCATAATTCGCATCGTCTTAGAGAATCATAGTGTCGTTGACTCGAGAGCTTATTCTGTCATCTTTCAGACCTTGATATCCATTCTTTTTCAAGTAGAGTATTCTATAGCATTGTTACTTTACATTCTGAGTTCCACAAGGTCAAACTCGATCGCAAATGAACGAAAACTCCGACCTGAAAATTTTGAGGGCCGGCCGCGCGGTCGCCATATTTTCAAATTTGATCATATAGTATTTTCGTGATAGCATACATGATAGAGGG